TTTTATATAAAGACTAATATTAAATAGCTACTTTTAATAATATTTTACTTATAAATAGATAATAAAATAAAATAAGTAATCTCAGACTCGCTGCTGCCGCCTCCGGAAATGGTGGCACCCCAAACAGGCAACGTGCACGCCGCCGCTTTGCGCACCCACCCCTGCCCGAGGCCCTGCCCCGCCGCGTCATGCCCGCCGAAATATAAATACCACGGCCTCCCCCGTCCGCAGCATCAGGTACATTTGACTTCTTCTCTCCCCAAAATGTCGCAGGAATGTGCCTCCTCTCGGTGGCTGAGTCCTGCTGCTCTTGCCTCCGCTGCTCCTTTTTGCCCCTATGCCTGTCTATGCCCGCAAGACCCTGGCACGACACCCCCAAATAGCTCAGACGAGCGACTCATCGGTTTCTCGTCTTTGCTTAACACAGACAGACATGCTGTCGCTTCGAGCCCAACTACGAAGCACCAGAGAGCAGACACCGGATAGTCAGTATGCTCACAATACCTCCAAATTCCTTCCTGTTCCTATCCTGGTCGCTAATTAGTTCAGCCGGCGCAGGTGCCTCCGAGTTCCAACAGTGCCGACCTGTGTGTGACCATCGGCGACACTATCCTGGCCAATCACAAAAATGCCTCACGATGCATTACCGACATCTGTGCTTGCCGAAATTGCACCGGCTGTCACGAGCCGCGTCAGCAGAATCACCAGACCACTTGACCGAGCGCGACAGCGTGGACACGCCACTCGAGTGGGCACGAGGACGGTCTCGACCGCTCGATGTTTCGGATATACTTCCTAAGGAGGTCATATTCCCGTTTTGGCTTCTTGCTAGTCGGAAACCGACGGAATAACGGACCTGGGCGCCTCCATTGCCTGCGTCATTCTGCCGAAAAAGTCGCTCCAGGTTTCAAGAATCAGCCCACGGAGCACCTCTAGCTCTTGCACGCACTCAATCAGGCTGACTCGGCAGCGCCGAAGAAGTGACGTGTCACTGATATTCTGAGCTATAATATGCACGAGTCGGCGGAGCGTGCAGATACGAAGGCACAGGGCGCGGCTGGTGTGGCTCGGCAGTTGCGTGATTGGTGGTGCTGAGCCTGCGACAAGGCTCTGATGAGCTGGGCGCGTTCATCTTACCGCAAAGATGTCGCGCTGCTGTCTTGCAAGGGAAGATTCGCTCGGCCTTTAGAGAGGTCGGGGCCGAGACCGTCAGTGAGGCTCTGAGCAGAGTGAATCGACGATTCTGGTCTACTTAAAGGACACGCGAGCCTGACTCTCTCAGCTGCAACCAGGCTCGAACCAATTTTTCCGTTTTCTTTTTTTTTTCTGTGGCGGTTGACGGCACAATGGCCGCCGCTGCTGCCCACGAGACAGAAACTACAGAGCATGAAGACGGACCACGCGCTCCAACCCCGACGTCTCCGTACCTACCCCAAGGTACTGCATGTGGAGCGGCAAGCGGGAGTCAAGACGAGGTAATACTCATCCCCTCTGATTCGGAGTCGGAGTCGGATAGTGAAGCAGACGAAGACGTTCCGTCTCTCAAGGCTATGACTGCGCTCATTGACAAGGAGACTGCGGCACAGCCTCACAGCACCTCGCCAGGTCAGTTAGCCTCTAAACTCTAATATACGGTCGATTAGAAGAAGCAAAACGAACGTCAAATTAATCATTGTGGCAGCATCGACGATGACAACTGTGCCTAATACACCGCGAGCCGTTGAATCAGGTCTTGAAGTGGATGACGACATGAATGGGGCTCTACAACACTCAACTCCTCCTGTATCTCTCACCACCTCGGTTTCCCCAAGGCAAGAGCCCGGGGATGGGTCAAAATCCAGTCGCTGCTCACCGAGTCTATCCGCCGCCGAGGTAGCTGAGCGGGATCTTGGGCAGGTAGAGGACGCAAATGAGTCAGTGTCGAGTCATTGTGACCACCATGAAGCGGATGACCGTGCCGAGCTGCTACGGCAGACTCAGCCACATGAGAGTGCCAGCCAGAACGTTCTAGCCTCTGACGCCGACGGCCACACCACCGATGTTGGCGACTGCAACAGCTCCCGCGATGCCGACAGTGACAGCAGCGGCGACAGCTCCGGCGGTAGTAACGGCGACGGCGACGGTGACGACGATGAGTATGACGATGACGGAAGCTCTCGCGATACCGACGAGGATGACCGGCACAGCAAAAAACGTGGGACGAGGCGCTCGCCTTTCGTGAGCAGTTCTGACCATGGTCATGCTGACGGCCCTCCCAATGACCATACAGAGGAGAACCCTCCTAGGCCGCACAAACGCCAGAAAGTCGCTCATGATAGAGCAGACATTACGCCTGTCCGTCGCCAGAACTCTATGACTCGCTCTGCAGGACGCCTGCCGCAATCGCCTGAACGGCCGCAGACCGCCAGCATGCTTAGCCCACCGGCCTCTCATAGCCTCTCCGAATCTGAGAGTGATGAGGGTTCGGATTGCAGCAACGCGTCAGCAGCATCCTTCGGGGAGTGGCTGTTGCACAATGCCGCATTAAAATGTGTGACCATTGGTGGGGTCACCACGTATCAACTGCAGTTCCAACGAGCGCAGGGGCATTCTTGCAGCCGGCGGCGAGAGCCACGACCGCACGGACGAGTCAAGAGCAACAAAGGAGGAGGTCGAAACCCAAGGGATGAGACGAAAGGCCGGCGATGTGGTACGTGCGGCCGGTCCGGTCATAATGCGCGAACCTGTCAGGGCATTGAAACGACATGAACCGAATAGATTTGGCCAGATAGAAATTTCAAATATACGATAATATTGGCTACTCGCTGTGCCACCCGTCTCGGTCTATGGGCTAGCCTAACCAGTTGGTTCCCCGCCACAGTAGGACTTGCCATCTACCCCGGAACCATTCTTTTACCAGCCCGAGAATATCGGGCCGAGATTCGGTAGGCTTTGCAACCAATGGAGTCCCTAGAAGTAGGCCCAGGATGCCCTAATATGGGCTTGAATGTGGTGGCATGGGCTTTTGGAATGGATGCAAGCGATGAAGCCCCCGAGACTCCCCAGACGACGCAGGATCAGGTGGCACCTGATCATCCCTCCCAACGCATAAACACCACGACGCGTTCTGCTGTGCTTCTTAGATACTACGATCATAAGGCATATGTCATGTCATGGACCTCCATGCCTGCCAACCAATCATACGGGACAACAGTGGGAATAGGAAGGCTTTTCAGTGGGCTGAATAAGGCATTCTTTGACCGATTTGTCCGCGAGGCTAAGGTGCAAGACGACGGCGAGGCGGGCCTTTTCGGGCTTTGGAAAGCCATCCCCCGACCTGTGGACCCGGAGGGCAAGTGCGAGCCATTTAAAGTCCTCGTGATAAGATGCAAACGGGCACTGTGCAACGGACAGGTCTCGAGTCTTTCGACAATGCGCCAGTGAACACGACATGGCAGACGCTGGACGCAATCAGAGAAGCCGCCCCGGAGTTAGTGCAAGAGTACGAGGGTAAACGAGAAGACAGCTGAGCAAAACGCGTAGTAAAGATGCCTTGTAAATTCGAATCCATCGTCGCAACAGAATACTTCTATACAACAAAAGCATTTGCCTTTGCACTTCTGATCGACCAGTCTGCATTGGATCTAGATTTCGTCCGGCCGTCTATTCCAATATCGTGAACCACTGCATATCCTCCATACCCGCGCTGGCCGATACACTGGCCGAGACGTCAAACATCTCTTCAATCTTCGTATGCATCGTAGAAGTCTGGCGCCGAAGGGGAACGAAACCCTCGCCCCCATTTCCGATCCACGGGATGACGTTTTCCACTGCGTCCCGAGGCGAATGTTTGTGCGCAATCAGAAATGAAAGGACCTTGGCCGGGCTGTATTTCATTTCAGGCACACGATCAGCAAACCGCACAGCTAGTTCCTGGATATCTTGAGCGTCTTGGCTTTTGACGACCCCTTCGTCCGTGTCTCTTTCTCTTTCGGTGTTGCTGGACAACGGCATGTAGATAAATCGGAACAGGCCCAGCAGTGTTTGCCGACTTGCAAGCCCAAACTCAATCATTTTGTCCACACGCCCGGGTCGAATAATGGCTGCGCCGATGTGATCGACATGATTCGTCGTCATGACCAGTAATCGACCCTCTTCGGAAGCTACTCCATCAAGTGCATTGAGCAGCCCGGAGAGTGTCACGCTGTCGCCTGTGGAGTCTGTTGTCGAACCCGTTACATCGCCAACACGACTTTTGGCGGCCTCGATTGCGTCAATATCCTCCAAGAGGACAATGCATCACGATGGCAGTTTCCTTAGTAGTTTCTGGAGCGTCGCATCGCTGACTTTAGCAAGGTTCAGGACGTATATGTCCAAATTGAACTGTCCAGCTGCCGCAAAGCTTAGACTTGATTTGCCAGTGCCAGGCTTGCCATGCAGCAAGTATCCACGATGGTACGGCAGGCCACGATCGGCATACCAAGCTCTTGCTTCCGGGTTGAGGTACTCCGCAACGTCACCCAAAAAATCCGTTTTTACGGCTTCGGGGAGTACAACAGTAACCATATGCCGTTGGCCTCGCCTTGTGGCAAGTGTCCAGCCGTCGCCATTCACGTAAACGGCAGTCTTTCCCTTCTCTTTTTTTTCGTACGCGGTTCTACAATCGTCAATAAAGTCCTGCAGCATTCTTGAGGATGTGCCGAAACCGGTTAACGAGAGTCTTTCCCCGCGCCACGAGCTGTCTTCCACGGTCTGTACACAGAGAAGATTACGCTTATGCCAGAAAAACTTGCGGGTATTCCACGGCAGATAGCTTAATGTTCTCTTTTTCCAGCTTCTTGAGACGCCTGGGCCGTGACGATAGAGGATCGCGTCCGCCCAGCGAATGGTTGCGATTGTAACCAGTCGAGGAATATGTCGTGTGCGTCATCCCTGTGGGATATTTTGCAGGTGTACACTGCAGATTATTAGCCTTTGCGTAACGCTCTGGAATGTTATTTTTGACAAACTGAAGTGATCCTCAAGGGTTTCTTTAACACGCCTGTAGGTGTACTTGACTATGAACACAACCAGGCCGAGAGTGCAAAGGAGCTGGGCTCCAAGATGAGAATTTCCAGACGCAAGCGGATGAATGTAACCCAAGGCAACACCCAAGCCGGGGAAGAAGGTGTCCAAGAAGGAGACCTGAGAGTATAGGGTGCCAAAGACGTTGGATGACATGTTTGTCACTTGCGAGGGCAAATCAGAAGTACGGAGTAATGAAAATAGGCAATCAGAGGTGTCTGTCGAAAGAAGGTTGTTCGAGTTTCTTGACGCAACTTGGGCACAGCAGTCTGGTAGGAGATGGGGAGAAATGGTGACGCTGGTCCGATGGTTTACAGCCTGAGGAAGCTGAGGTAGGGTGCCTTTTTATATAAACGGCTTGAACAAGGCAAATGGCCTACAATCACTTCTCACATTTCATCTGCGTTTTCTAGGCATGGATCAAGAAACCTGCATGCAGGAGCTGACAGTCCTGCAAGCCAAGTCACATCTTCGTTCCATCCATGCGCAGCTAACACCGTGGTGTAGTCGACTAGAATGGGTTCTTGCAGAGAAAGCCCCTTGTCTACCAGCGCCATGCACAGCCGATGCAGCCACCGCACAGCTCTCCACTCCAGCCGCCCGATTCGGACCGGTCTTGGACGTGCCATTTTATCACTGATGTAGAGCACACCGCCTACTTACATAAGCTGCAGCACAAAGTGGGCGGCCCCTACATTCGCGCCCGGGCGCGGATTTAGAATGCCGCGCCCTGCTGACTAATTTTCCCGCGCCCCCTTTCAACACGCTGTCGCACAACCATGAACCACTTCGTACTTTCGCCATGTCCCAAACGGTATTCCCAGATGATGTGCTCCCCCCAGAGGGTGTATACAATTCACGCGAATCTCTCCTTAGCGCCATTAATTCATGGGCAAAACCTAGAGGCTATGCATTTACCACGGGGAAGTCGACGAAGACACCCAATGGCCGGGTTAAAGTTGTGTTTGCTTGCGATCGCAACGGGCAACAGCCAAATGCCAACATACAGCGAAAACGGCGTACCTGTAGCCGAGGAACAGGATGCAAGTTCTCTGTGCTTGCCAAACAGTCTTTGGATGGAGCAGCATGGGTTCTCAGTCATCGACCCGGACTGGATTTCTCTCTCCATAATCACACGCCAAGTGAAGACCCATCTGCACACCCAGCACATCGCCACCTTACTGGGGGTGATTCCAGGGTCATTTCTAGTCTTGCGGCTGCTGGGGCTGCTCCTCGTGAAATCAGGACGTACCTCTGTAACAATTCCACGACACTTGCAACTCAGAAAGATATCTATAATCGAATTGGGGCAGCGAGGAGAGACCTACGGGAGGACCAAAGCAGCATACAAGCACTAGTCGACCAATTGCATGAGGAGGGCTTCCACTTCAAGGTTCGGCTGGATTCTGACAATCGGCTTACAGCAATATTCTTTGCCCATCCGGACTCAATCGCATTTCTCCAATGCAGCCCCGATGTTCTGCTCCTTGACTGTACCTACAAGACAAACAAATACAGCATGCCACTTCTTGATATGGTTGGCGTTGACGCTTGCGAGCGCTCCTTTTGTATTGCCTTTGCGTTCCTCTCCGGTGAGACCGAAGAGGACTACTCATGGGCTTTGCAACATCTTCGGTCGCTCTATCGGCGTGACCTTCCCTCCGTTGTCTTGACAGACCGGTGTTTGGCCGCGATGAATGCGGCTGCAACCTGGTTCCCTTCATCCGGAGGTCTCCTTTGCACTTGGCATGTAAACAAAGCGGTGTTGCAATATTGCCGGCCTGCCTTTCTGGCTGAAGGTAGCCAAGGAGAAAGGAGATGGGATGAGTTCTACAAGGCCTGGCATACAATCGTAGCCTCTCCGACTCAAATGATATTTCAAGAGCGCCTGGCCGATTTCGAGCGGAAATATGCCGAGAAATTTACAGATGCGGTCGGCTATGTTAGGACAATCTGGCTTGACCCGTTTAAAGCGAAAATTGTCCGAGCATGGGTCGACAGGTATTTGCACTTTGGCAATGTGGCTACCTCCAGGCAGGTAGCTCGTAGTTTGGTTGAAGACGGAGGAGCTAATCTATCTTCTAGAGCCGAGGGGATTCACTCATTACT